GAAGCTACAGTGCATAAATAGACTGTGATGATATTTACAGGAGAGAAATCATTCACAATATTTTTGGCATCTTTTGTAGTGACTAGAGAAGAGCCACCTAACGAATACAATATACAATAATGCAATAAAGGAGCGTGTAAGAGCACAGATTCAAGGAGCACTTACACCTGCTGAGTCAGTTAAGGTTAGGAGAATGTTAGTGATCAGGCATAAACACAAGTTTCATCCTAAGGAATTTCAAAGCAGATTGCAAGTTTAAATAAATAGGGAAACACAATTCAGAGCTCATTTCTCTCTCTGCTGAAGCAACGCCAGCCATTGTGCTGGAACTTAGGACTGATTTAATGAAACATTATCTGGTTGAAGACATAAAGATACAGGGAGAAAGTAAAGTTAGTTAGAAAGAAAAATTGCTTCCAAATGTACCTTTTATTATGTTAAGAGTACTAAACTATGGACTGTGCAACTGCTCAAACTGCAAGTTACTGAGCTCAGTATGGGAAGAGCAGTGACACTGGATAGGCTGTGATATACAGGTGGCTAGACTAGATAATCCAGTGGATTTGCCTTTGCCATAAACTATGAGGTTATGAAAACCCACTAGTACATTGAAAACTCTTTACACTTTAGCGTGTAAGTATCCACAGTGGAACACTGTATTTGAATTTAAATAGCAAACCTATTACAGAGTATACTCATTAGACTACTTTAGAGACCCCTGGAAAAACAAAACACATCCAAAAGCACTGAGGGACAGATTCTGCAAAACCTCCTCTAATTTAGGATCCCTTGCCCCTGTGGAGCTGGTGCCCAGCAGAAATAGGTTCTGCTCAGAATGGTGATGAGATGCTAAAGCAAGACTAAATAATACTTCTTGGTTTTTCATCTCATGGAGGAGATTCGTGTCTAGGTGTTATGCAAACACTCACTGAGGAGCCACGTGTGTCCTGCCACAGCCTCACAAGGGCTCAGTTACCAGAGCTGCCCTGGGAGCACTGCCTTGCAGTGAGCGGTGGAAGTGCATCCACACCAAGGGACGTGTGACTGCGCTTGGTAACCCTCCCTGCCAAACAGTACAGCAGTCTGCCCTCTGAAGGAATTGCTGATGGATTAGGCCGTTGGGACAAGAGCAGGCATGGATTTACTGAAGAGATGTGGTGAGGTGTAACAGCCCTCACTTTGTCCCTGAAACTGCAGGATGTGACATGCATTGTCTCATCCCGGACCACACTGCATGTATGTGGCTGTGAGGCTGTCCCCAGCAACCACTGAAATTCTCAGGCAAAACAGAGGTTCTGCCTGTGTCCCACCACTCTGCATTGGTGTGTCACAGGCGGCACAAGATGTAGAATTTCTTGTTCTTGAGACACACTGTACTAATGCTAAAGCATTTCCTGCACCTCCAGAATTCCTCTCTTCTGTTCTTTGAAAGCATTCAGCTAAGGTCTTATGAATTTGCTGGGAATTAATTTCTTGCTGGGTACATGTTTTAAAGGTAGGTGCTACCAAAGAGATACTATGGAGGTATTTTGCGTACAGGATGTTGACTAGGAATGTAGTATTTCTCACCTCCCCCTTATTTTATGTTACATTAAAATTATCTTTACTCTTCCTCAGGCAGTTGCTATGCCACGCTTAAGACAGAGAGTCTAAGAAGAGGGAAATGTCAACTTTTAAGATGATGTTCAGCTTTCCTGCTACATGCAATCTTTATGTAAGGGATTTGAATTACATATTGTTCCTAGGTTCTTCTTGCAAAGTCTGCTTGACTGGGCACAGTTGCTTGCTTATTCTTAATGAAGAGTTGTTAACAGAGGAAAGAGCAAAATGAAGGGGCAAGTAATGTCTATATGAATCATGAAAAATATATGTATAATGAGCAGGATTACGTAGCACATGGCATATTTTTATTTATATAATGCCATGCTTTTGTAAAAAGGCAGGTTTCATTCCCTACAGGATTTGAAAATACACTGACAAGTCACACAGCAAGGGATGACAGGGGATTGCTGGTGGCTGCAGGAAGCTGTGGGTTGCAACAGGCAGTGGGGAAGGACTTTCTTCAGTCACCATCCTGAGGTTTGTTTAAACAGTCTGTGTCAATTTACTGCATGCTGTGGTTTTGATCATGGAACCCACTGGAGATAGAGGGGCCACTTCTAAGTAGGAAAGCAGCAGGTGAGTTTACTGTTCAGTGGCTGGAAAGAGGGAAGGATTTGAATGAATAAGACATGGAGCACAGAGGATGCTCCAGCCACAGGGGCCAACCACAGTATTATACTGAGGAGCCAGCACAGGAGCCCAGCCAAGCACATCACAGGGGAAGTAAATTTAGGGGTGGAAGGCTAACCTATAGGTGAGGTCTCACATACAAGGAGTTTCAAAAATGCTACCAGGGTCAGAGGAAACATTGAGCTCCTGGCAGATAGCCAAAGCAGTTGGGATTTTGAATTGACATTAATTTCAATGCAATTAGTCTTGATGTTCTCTGCTCTGCATGAGAGGAGAATCACAGCCATGATGGGAAAGAAAAGAACAACACGATAATGATACACATTTAAGAAATGTAAAAGAAAAATAATAATTTTTTGTGTTAAAACATATTAAAAACATAAAACATACTGCCTATCATTATGTATTACTCTTTGAAATTTAATTCACTCAGTGCTGTTCATGCTGTTTGTTTACATTTTCTATTGATCTCAGTTTGGATGATGAATTTAGCCTATGGAATTTTGCTTCCAAGTTTCCACACGAGTTGCCACTTGTGAGCATTGCAGTCCACCTTGCTCTTCACAGAATGACCTGGGGTAAATTCCAGCACTGGTGTAAAGGGGGTCCCACTTCTAGTGATTTAGTCCACAAAGACAGCCTAAGCTTGCCCTGCTGTATGTACCATTTTAGAGGTGATTTAAGCACTTCTGCAAATCACTGCTTAAGCTGGGTCTCTGGGAAAGAATCAGGGTCATGCTGCAATGGGGGTTGCACAACCTCCCTTAAAATAAGAAGAGTGAGGCAGCACAGGCTGTGGCTTGAAAAGGTCAGTGTAAATATGCTGCCCTTCACTCCTTCACACATAAGTAATGTATTTGTTGAGAATGTTACCTGCTTTCCAGGCTCAATCTTCTGTCGTGGTAAGCTTTTCCCCAGCTGACAGAAAAGCTCTTTTCAGGCGGCTTTATGTATCCATTAATACTGAACCAAGCCTGGCATCTGAACTGGCATGATTTTTTTCCATTTTCACCTTCATTTGCTCTGGGTAGGCAGGGGGTGCCACAAGCCTGCCCAGCCTGGACACATCCTTCTCCATCCCCCTGGGGAAAGTGAGGAGACGGGCATTACAGGAGCCGGCTGCGGTGTCACTCCGGGCTGAAGATGTGTCACATCCCGAGGGTCGGGGGGCTTCTGGCAGTAGGAGGCAGCACCACCTTGGCTGTGCAAGGGAACAGAAGCAGCTGTGGAGTGGCTTGGGACTTTGAGATGACTCGCCGAAAGTGGCGTGCGAACTGCTTTCAAAGCCGTGCAAACGGGTTTTCAAACCTTTCCCTTGGAGCGTGCCTACGCTGCAGCCAAAGCTGCGCCGCAGCTTGTGCAAGGTTACCAGCCCTAAATTAAATCAAGCTAACTCAGGAACGAGTAACATACAGCCACAAAAGCAGGCGAGAAGCCTGCATAAATACTTGAGCGCTGCTGTGGGCTGCCAGGGTGCCATGCCCGTCAGGGTGCCCTAGCCAGCTGCCAGCTGCCTTGGCTCGGTCTCCTAGAGCAGGGATCTCCCAGTGTGGGATCGCTCCGCAGATATCCGCGTTGGTGCTGTTGCATGAATAGCCCCCTCTTTTCGTCACGGATTTTGCACATTTCTTCTCCCTGTCTGCGATGACATGGCACTTCTCTGGCAGCTACTCACAGCTTAGCTGAAAAGCCCAGTATTCTGGAAAGTATTTAATGTGTGTTAACCTCTCTTAATGTGATTCAGCAACTACAAATCAGAAGCGCCTGCCTCCCCTGGCCACGCAGATATCACAGCCGGTGCCTCACACAGGCTGGATGGCAGTGCGAGGCATCTTACTCGCTTTGGGTGGCAAATGCTGATGATTGGTACTTTTATTTTTAACCAGAGACCACTCATTTTTAAAGGCTTCGTGCAATCCAGGGACCTTTAATTGCCTGTGCAGGTCTAGTGGAACTGTGTGGACATGAAGACTTGCACAGGTGCAGTTTATTACACATCTGATGAGGAATTGGCGCAAAAAGGCCTTAACCCAGCCCAACCCCTGGACTGCGGAGAGAGCCCCTGGGAGCATCCCGGGCTGCTGGCTCCAGTGCAGAGAGCCGGGTCCACGGCCCCGGCGTCATCCCACAATAAATGCCACATTTTCTCCCCAGTGTTTCTCAGCCGAACATCGTGGTGCTTACCCAGCGTGAGGTGCGGGTGAGCCGGGGTGCTGCGTCCCACCCCGGGGTACCTGGCCAGGAGGAGGAGGAAGCGGAGGAAGGGGGAGGGGGGAAATTCCACCCCAGACCCAACTTCTGCGGGCCAAACCCCCGCGGGGGTGCAAGCTGCCCCCAGCTCCCGTGCCCGCCGGGCTGTGCCGCCCCCCCGCGCCGAGCGGGCGCTGCGCGGATCCAGGCGCTGCGTGCGCGGGGCGGGCGCCGCCTCGGCCGCGCTCCCGGCGGCGGGAGGGAGAGAGGGAGGGAGAGAGGGAGAGAGGGAGGAGGAGGCGCGGGGGAGCGGGGCGGGAGCGGAGCGCGGCGGCGGCGGCCGAGCCGAGCCCAGCCGAGCCGCGCCGCTCGCACACGAGCGGTGGCACCGTGTGCTTTCTTTTGGGGGCAGGGTGCTCGCTTCTTTCCTAGCGGGAAGCGGGAGGAAGGCGGCCGAGGGGTCCGTCCCCGCCCGCGCGTGTGCGGAGAGCGGCCGGCGGCGGCGCCGGGGGTGCTCCGCGCCCTCGCCCTGCCCGCGGTGCAGTTACGATGCGCCCCGGACGCCGTACGGCTGCAGCGCGGCGGCGCTGACATCGCTCACCATGGACAGCTTCGACTTAGCTCTCCTTCAGGAGTGGGACCTGGACTCTCTGTGGTGAGTGGTGCCGCTGCTTCACCCCGGCGCGGGGACACGGGGCTGCGGGGGATGTGCGGTAACTGGAGGGGGTGCGATAACTGGGCCATGTGCAGTAATTTGGAGTGGGTGTGCACTTACCTGGAGAGGTGCAGTAAATTTGGGGTACAGCACTAGTGGGCGTGCAGTAAGGGGGGTGCACTGACCCGAGGGTACAATAACTGGGGCTGCGGGTGCATTGGCAGAGGGTGCAGCCCAGAGAGGTGTCTGATCTGCCACTTGCTCTCCCAGCATTGCTGGCTCGGCAGGGGCAGAAGGACGGGTGCCCCCCTCCCCTGACTGCCAGGGTTGATCCGGGAGGTGAGTGTGGTGTTTGGCTGGAGGGGTCACCTGCGCTCGTCCCTCCGCCCCCCCGCGCTCACCCCCTTCCCCTCTAATAATACCTTGTGCCCACCCACCTCTGGTACCTCGAGTTGGACTCATCCCCCATCCTTCCTGCACGCCCCTTTCACTCCCCCCACCCCCACCTTCGCTCCGCAAGTCCCTCCAGGGCCGTCTTTATTGCGCCCCCCCCGCTGCATGCCCTTGACCTCCCCCTGCGCACCCCCGTCCCTGCCCGCCCCGGCGGCGGGTGCGGGGCTGCCGGGGAGGAGGGGAAACAATTTCTAGAAATGTCATTAGCGGCTGGAGGTGGGAAGCGCTGCCCTCCCCCCTGCACCACCCTCCCCGAGCTGCTGCCTCTGCCAAGTCCCGGAGTTTGCTGCGGGAGTCACGCTGCCCCCGGGCGGCCGCCACTCCCCGCCGCCGGCCCCGGGTCCAGCTGGGCTCCGCGGGGTGGGGAGGAAGCGCTCCGCTCCCCTTGGACCCCCCCGGGGGAGGAAGCGCTCCGCTCCCTTTAGACCCCCCCAGGATGCGGGGAGGCGCCCCGGGACCTGCGGGGCGATGCCGCGGTGGGAGCCCGCGGTGGGACGCGGGTGCGGAGCCGCGTGTGGCGGGAGCCCCGCTGCCCGGAGCCCCGCCGCTCACAGCCCCGCCGCTCACAGCCCCGCCGCTCACAGCCCCGTCTCGGCGGGCCGTGCCGGCCGTGCCGCCTTCCCCGGCGGGGCGCGCTCCTGCGCGGGGCGCTCCGCGGAGCAGCGGCGGCGGCACTGCCGGCCCTGGAGTGCGGCGAGCTGAGGTCTCTGTTGCCGGCAGTCAGACACCGGTGTGCGTTTTGTTTTAAGCCGTGCTAGGTGATCTATGGCTTCTGTCAGCAGGGAGCGCGTTCGACAGCGCCGGCTTTTCTGCTCCGTGGCAGGTGTAGCAGAAGGAGCCGGAGCAGCCAGTCCCGTTAGTTGAGCCGCTTCTCACAAAAGACCTCAGGATGATGAGAACAGCTTGCGCTGCATAATGTGGGTGCTTATAAATGCATACATTGATAACACCGAGCCCAATAAAACTTTCACATTGCTGTGAGAACTTTAAAGAGCGCGTATAATACAAAATTAGTTATTACCGATAAAAGTTTTTAATTATAGTGTTTCTGCCTGTGACACAAGTTAAGGTTATGTCCTCGTTTCAATTATAAATACCAATATTCAGTTTATATCCAAACCATAACATTTATCTCTGGCCTGATTTTAAGTTTACAGTCTGTGTGCATGGTTTTACAATTAAATTACATGTTTTTTGTATTAAACAAGAGTGGGAGAAAGAATACTTTTATACATTTGAATGATTTTCCCTTTCTCCTTGAATGAAGACAAACTTTGGGCAAATTTTCTTTTTCAGCAAAAGTGTGCTGTCCACTGCTCTGTTCTCTGAGCTGGCCATTTCAGTTAATAATGATTTGAAAGACAAACAATGTAACTCTGGGACATTAGGGATCTAGGCTGTGTTTGGCCATTGCTTCTTTCTCATAACCTTTTTAGCATGCCTCTTGGCTGTTGTGGAACCACTTTCAAATGAATGTGGTTGCCATAAGTCTCCTGTATGGGTCCAAAAAGGCATCAACTGTTTTCCAGCTAAATTACCTTCTTAAAAATATCTGTATTTGCATTACTTGCAATCTTGTGGTTTCATATCTCTTGTTACTTGTTTTCCTCTATAACTGTTGCAGTTTAGAAGGTGGGTTCATCAGAAGGTCTCCAAAAGGCACATTAAAAGTCGTTGCATTGTGGCAGGCCTGCATTCACTGCTAAACTTTCACCCCTTTGTAGGGTTGAACCCCACAAATACCCAGAGCATTGCCTAGTGAGGGGAGCAAGGGGGTTGCTGTTGCGTTTCCAAGTCCTTTTTGGGGCACTGGGTTTTGGCACCAGCTTTAGCTTGGAGTATCAGATCATGGGCCGAAAGTTCATCACGAGGCAGCTGTTTGACAAGTGGTTTGGAATAGTCAGTTTTGAAAACTCATGCAAACAGTAATAAATAAAGCTTACCTTGGCTTAGTGGAAGCTCCCAAAGTTTGTTGTGAAGGTCAGCAGTGCCCTGGGGCCCTGGGTCATTCTCCCATTTGCAGGCAGGGTGGCTGTGGCATGCTGCCCTCCTGCTGCCCTGCCTGCAAACCATGGGGCAAGTTAGGGGCATTCTCAAGAAACTGGTGTGAATTCTGCACTAAACTGGCCAAAACAAAGCTTTTGGACATGGTGATGTGCAGCTATGAAGACTTATGAGAATGCCTTCAAAGTTGTGCAGTTGTTGCCAAAAAGGGAAATAAAATACACCACACAGATAGGAAGTACTTCATGGCAAAGAGCAACACTTAAAGAGACTTAATTGTCTCTGCAGCAAGAATAAATGTTGTCCTTTATTCTTTTGAATGTGTCCATAATGGCAATTTGTGCACTTAATTTATGACTGAAAATCCACTTTTTGAAGTATTTGGTGAACATTTTGCTTAGAAGTGCAGTAATTAAATATTAAAGTGCTGTTCTAAAGTGGGTGTTTTTGTTTTGTTTTGTTTTTTTTTTTTGGGTTTTCTTTATTTATTTGAGCTGTTCTTGGAAAATCAGAAAGTATCTCCAAATGAACAGGGGCATGCTAGTCAATTTTCATTGATTGTAGCTATTATACTATCAGTGAATTTTCTTTCCAATTAATACATGCTATGTCTTTCGCTTTGCTGTAACACAGAACATGAAATGATATATCATGTAGTGGCTATAAAACAGTATTTAGCTAGTAAACTGTAATGGTAGAATATTGTAAGCAATTTTCTACTAAACAGTAGTTTTTCCAGATTGTATGGATGCCAATAACACTTCTGCTTTCCAGAAAACTACTATAATTCAAATAGTGAAAGCTGAGCACAAACTCAAATAAGAATTTTAAGAAAACATACCAATCTCTGGTGTAAACAAAACTTGTGCCCATTTGGGAAGCTTTTTTTGGAACGTTTTAGGGTGATCAGCCCAACTTAACTCAAGGTGTTGTTACTGCTGACCAACAGAGTTATCCTGAACACAGGGCACTGACGACTTCAAACCACAGCCCTGCCTCCTGTTTTTCTTCCTCCATGCATTTATTTGTGTGCTACATGTGTAGTTTTACTTGTCCAGACTCGAGGGTGTGGATTCTCCGGTGTGTAACAGGTTTGCATTTGCTTACACAGGACAAAAAGAGATGGAAAATCTCACATGGAGGTGTTTTATGTACGTCAGTAAACATCCTATACATGATGGAAAGCAGCAAATGAGCAGACTAAAGGACCTAATCACAGTGCCCAGACTAGTTCTGCATTACAGGCATTTGTTTTGTTATTTGCTTTATTTAACAAATCAAGATCAGAATTCAGCCAGGTCTTTAATTCCATGCTTAGGTTTGGGCACCGCAATAGTGAATAGCAGTCAGTGAAGGCTCTCCTCAAATGCTGATGTCAGATACAGGCGTAGGCAGAGTTGTTCCCCATTCATTAAAAGCAATTAGCAGATCTATTAAAGCACTTACTGTGCTCTACCAAACAAGAAAATAATTTTGAATGTAAGATAGCCACAAACAAAACAGTGTTTGTTTAGGTAAAAGAAGCCAAGTATGTAATTGGTTTATTTGGTAGTTACCTGATACTTCTGTGCCTTTTGAGTTAACACCAGTTTTGTAGGGGTTGGATAGTCCTGTAAAAAATGTATAGCTGTATAGCTTCCAAGCTAAGATCAATATCAAATGCCACAGTATAAGATGGCCCAGTGTGTTTTACAGACCTTGTACTGAATTATTAGTTCATTTGCTATCTTTGGGTCTGTTCCTGCTCCATTTGTAGTCAATGAGAGTTTTGTTTGGAAGTTGCTATTAACAAAAAGTGGTCAGACGTCCAGCAGTCTTATAAATGAACCTTTTGTAACTTCTTGATTCCAGGTTGCCTGGCTTTTAGGCTCTACATTTTATATTTGTGTAAGGCAAGATTTTTTTCTTATGTTGCATGGTGTTTAGTGGAGACAGTTTTAGAAAGCTAATTCTACACATGCTTCTTCAGTCAAAGTAGAAGATCACAATGTTTATTTTCAGATAACAGTAAGCAGCTACTTTGGGGCGAGAGGGGTCACTCTCTCAGTATGGTAACAGGCTGGACCGGCTTGACCTTTTTGCAGAAAATGCTCAGCAATAATACCTCCCTCTCAAAAAAGAAAAAAAAAGTTAGTGTCCTCTTTTATCTCCTTTACAACTCCACTCCAGCCTGTGTCTTGGATTTTGGTCCTTATTTTTTTCTTTTTACCTCTTTCCCCTTTTCAACCAATAATGCTTGAAATCATCTTTGTCTCCTTATTTCTCTCTGTGTGGTGTTTCCTGTTCTCCTTTCCTCCCAGTGTCAACTCACAGTTACCACCTGTCCCTCACTGAGATCCCATCTAAAAATTTGCTCTTTCTGTGATGATTATAAGTTGTGAGCAAACAATAGGCAAGTAATAACTATAGATTGTTCCCTTCTCCTGCTTTCACAGCATGTTCTCTCTTCTTGATGCCTGTTTTTTAGGCTGGAAGTCCTTTGGGTCAGGAACTGCTTTTATTGTTTGAGCTTTTTTTTCCTACAGCACTGAACAAATTGTATG